ACCAGATGAGCGACTATTAGTTTCTCAAATACAGCTCTGTTCCTTGGAGTTGGTTGGCGTGATAAGTTCTGCAGAATCCGGCGCAAAGAATACGCGTCTGTAGAAAGTGCGTCGGTAAACAACCCGAAATTCGTTCGTGATACCAGGAAAAGCCACAAGACCTCGCTTTGTTCCCGCTTCATAAAAAATGCCCTTCCCTCTAAATCTGACACAATCGGCCCAGATAAAGGACCGAAACGCTCCGTGGTCTTCAGCTGAGGACAAAATACATCCGACCTCAAAATCAAATATGCCTACCGAATACATAACAAACAATCGAACGTAATTTTAACACGCAGCGAATGATAACCGATTGTTCGCACTTAAAATGACCAGGCCGACAAACCTGACAAATTTAAAACGTCCGACCTAATCACAGCCTTCTGATAACAGCTTCAACTCCATTGAGCGAACCAGATGTTCAGTTCTGTTTGTGCAAACAGACTGGATCTAATGAAAGAATTTTAATTGGAACGCTTAACTCAATATTTCACGACGCACTGATCATGCACACCCAAGCTGCGTGTAGGAATAAATACGTCAATGTTCATATCATTCTTCACACTTCGTCACAATGTTGGGTGTGTAATAACTCCAAAGAGAGACAAAGAACAATTATTTAATAAAACATAAATTAAATTATTGTTCTTTTTTTCCCTCCAACTTTTTTGTACTAATTCAATGCGGTTCATAGAAAACAATTAGAGATGAATTCCATTCTTCCCGAGCGTGTTTCTTGCTACAAAACAAAAACAATGCTACAAGGATGTTATAAGACACAACATTTTTGGTAAATGCTTGGAACGAGTAAATTATAAAAAATCCCAAACCTCTTCAATGAAAATTAATCCACTGAAAGACACAAGCTCTGAATTATTATCATAGAATCCTTCGTGTTTTTCAGGTCGCCAAATCCACTGTGAAGGAGAAAAATCTGCCGTGAGAGGAGACGAATCAATGATCTGTGTGAGCCCAGGGCGGGCGAAGAAGCTAGTTGTGGACACCGACGTCAGTCAGTCCAACGGACCGGATAATGCGCGGTTCAGGAGGCAACATCAGCGCCCTCCTGCCCTCGTTTAACGACGCTTCATCAACACCCAGACCTTACAGTTTTGAGACTGGATGAAACTGGCTCTGGACGGGAAAGAACCTTTTGGTACCATGAAAGGTAAGGAGTTTCTCTACCAGATGAGCGACTATTAGTTTCTCAAATACAGCTCTGTTCCTTGGAGTTGGTTGGCGTGATAAGTTCTGCAGAATCCGGCGCAAAGAATACGCGTCTGTAGAAAGTGCGTCGGTAAACAACCCGAAATTCGTTCGTGATACCAGGAAAAGCCACAAGACCTCGCTTTGTTCCCGCTTCATAAAAAATGCCCTTCCCTCTAAATCTGACACAATCGGCCCAGATAAAGGACCGAAACGCTCCGTGGTCTTCAGCTGAGGACAAAATACATCCGACCTCAAAATCAAATATGCCTACCGAATACATAACAAACAATCGAACGTAATTTTAACACGCAGCGAATGATAACCGATTGTTCGCACTTAAAATGACCAGGCCGACAAACCTGACAAATTTAAACGTCCGACCTAATCACACAGCCTTCTGATAACAGCTTCAACTCCATTGAGCGAACCAGATGTTCAGTTCTGTTTGTGCAAACAGACTGGATCTAATGAAAGAATTTTAATTGGAACGCTTAACTCAATATTTCACGACGCACTGATCATGCACACCCAAGCTGCGTGTAGGAATAAATACGTCAATGTTCATATCATTCTTCACACTTCGTCACAATGTTGGGTGTGTAATAACTCCAAAGAGAGACAAAGAACAATTATTTAATAAAACATAAATTAAATTATTGTTCTTTTTTTCCCTCCAACTTTTTTGTACTAATTCAATGCGGTTCATAGAAAACAATTAGAGATGAATTACATTCTTCCCGAGCGTGTTTCTTGCTACAAAACAAAAAATGCTACAAGGATGTTATAAGACACAACATTTTTGGTAAATGCTTGGAACGAGTAAATTATAAAAAATCCCAAACCTCTTCAATGAAAATTAATCCACTGAAAGACACAAGCTCTGAATTATTATCATAGAATTCAGGACGAAAGGAAGTGACGTCACACTTTTATTTCTGCTATCTGCCGCAGTGGCGTCGCGTGGTGGTAAACGTTGTAAATATCAATCACGGACACAGGAAACGTGATGCTTAGCCACTAGACAGACGGATCTCTGTTCACGTAATTTAAAACGCAAAGCGACTGGGCGTTGCGTATTGTCTTCATGGAATTAATAATTCAACATATCAAACGTAACCGACAAATGTCCTCGGTTGGCCGCCATGCAAGTCCCAACCTCGGCACTGCAAAGAGATGACTTGGTAGCCTCACGTTCCGACCGCCTTAGGCCAACATCATTACGCAAACCACAGATCATTCAGCGTATAATAAGACGTGACCACGGGTTGCGCGCGCAGTTTCACCGACTCGTCCCACGATTTTGACTCTGGAGACCACAAATCAAGGCCTCTCATGGAATCATACAGTTCCCGTTTCACGCGTTTTCGACATACGCGGCGACTCGCAGCAACGAGACTTGCCTTTGCAACTCAAATCTTAAGCCGCTGAGAATGTTTCGTCAAACAAAAAATCAGTCACGTGAACGATAGAAAAAGTACAAAGACCTTGGAGCAGTGAACGTGTCCGATTATCTGTGCACTTAGTTTCAGAGATTATACGCGGCAAAGGACGTGAAATTCTGCACGGGACCGTGAGTCAAACATTGCCCACGAAACCTTGACAGGGAAGGGGGGTTGAATTTATGGCTCGTGTTTAGAAATAAGGGTGGAACGTGAGTCACTGAACACCCCCGCAGGCTCCCGGATGCTGCCCGTTAAACAAGCACGGACGATTGGTCGAAATGTTCACTTGGTCAGGTCGATAGGCTCCGTTACATTCAAAATGTTGCTTTGACGATACAATGTGTTTTCTACCGCCATTCGTTCTAATCACACAGGTTTGTGGGCGGGGCACCTCACCCAAAAGAACCCTCAACTAGTTTCTACTCTACACAATTAAATCAGTCCGCGCTCTTTTACTCTATTTCTTTAATATGAATTACTTTGTCCGGAGATAGGGATTAGATCTATCTAGTGGGCCCAACCTGAAGACGGAGATAGAGTCCCATCTCCGAAACGTCGTTTTTTTACGTTTTATATTTACTAGACGATGGATAATATCCAAGGAAATTTTTATTCAATGAATTATAGTATTCTCCCATCTACGTCTAGGTCTTTAAGAGTCGTTTCTCAATACAAGGTTTCCGGACCAATATTTCGTACGCATTTCTTATCTCTCCTCCGTTTTCCTACAGAACAGTTTTTGGTCAGTGATGTCAAGATAAGATGAAAAACAAAATATCCGAAAAGTTTGTAACAAAACGAGAAATATTTGTGTTAATGCACAGAACACACACTTCTTCATCAAATTTCCAAAAATTTCCTCTCCAATCGTTCTAAAAAAAAGTAAGTCTGCAGAACGACACAATCAACGTAACCAACTACCGAGGAAAGTAACCAAATCACAAAACCAAACTCCGCGGGGCGCCGGGTGTTTACAATAACGGCCGGTGACAGCGCTAACTCCGCCCTGAATCGGCGATTCCCCTTTTTAATCTAATGAGTACCAGAAGGCCTCTCTTCTGGACCAAACAGCTGAAGAGTGAAGTCAAGGTGCTTTGCCTCCATATCCCCCTATACACCTTGTAGACACAGCGACAGCATCACAGTTCATAATCACTATTTCATTTTCTCTTTCCACATTCCCACGTCCACCTACTGGTATTAAGAACAGGGGGTCAATATTATTTTATTTATAAGATAATACAATTTTGCGTAGAATATTCACAGCATGTTACTCGGCCTACGTGAGTAGCAAATTCAGTACAAAATAGTAACACCAACAAAAGCAAAGAGGTGCAGCTTTAAAACTATAAAGCAAAACAATTTGATGCAATGTTTTTATTTTAAACGTCTCTAAACATTTTAGTAGCCACAAAAAATTTGATAATTATTCACCACGAACATTTCATCAGCCAGGTCCCAGCTAATGAGTGCAACGCCACTGCTCCATCTTATTTACCAGTTCCGCAAAATTGGGGGCAATTGGAGACAGAGGGTTTTGTGCTCTTTATGAAGGCAAGACTGGAAAATCCTACTTCACACATGGAAACTGCAATAATTGCATCACTACCAGCTACCACTGGATATTCATCGTGAATTATTAACCATAAAGACTCCAAATGGTCCTTTTTTCTACAAATAACATTTTTCACTGAGGGCCTAACAGCATCAGCAGCACGGTTCCTTCCTTAGAAATATCATTTCATTGTCCAACACGTGTTTTCCCTAAGAAATCACGTGTTAGACATTGGTCTGGTACAAGAGGTGAAAAGAATAACACGGGATGTCCACCCCTTAAGTCGTTATTGTCTCAAGGCTCGCGTATACATTGTCTGAATGTGCAAACATTGCCAACACTTCAATCAAGATACTCAGAACAACAGATTTTTACTATACACCGCGTACCATTCCTAGCGTGAGGTTTGATGCTTCGTGGATAAGAAATATCTGCCTCCATGTATGACCAAAATACAACCCATTTGTCACACAGCTCATTCCATACAAAAACAACACAAATTCACTTGTTCCTAACCATAAATCGCAAGAACCTAATATAAAAAATTAAAATGACTTGTAAAATCCTTTAAACAGCCCGACGTAAACATATAAAACCATGACTGATGCTTTAAAAATTAATAAGGGTTATTTCACAAATAAATGAGGTTAGAATACGCCGTTTGTAAACCCCTTAAACGAGATCATATCACTGCAACCACACAGAACACAGATATCATTAAGGAAAATAATCAATATATAAATACAGTTACTTACTTGTAAGATCCTTTCAGAGTTCGAATGTGCATAAAGATTCACAACACAGCCTACTGTTATGTCTCAATGAGAACAGATCACAGTTGGTGAATAATGTTCAACTCGTACAACAGGTTAGTTATCAACGGGGCACTGATTCTTCAGAGTAAACTCGTTTATAATCTTTCATAATATACAAGATACGTTTAATTACTCACAGTAAGGATTACACTTCACGAAAAATAACAACACAGTGACTTCTTGTGATTAAAACAACGAATGAAACCAGTATTCACACTAAACTAACAGCAGACAGCCATTCTACAACACAAACATCGTCACTCTGTTAGAGGCAACGGCTTGCTAGCCAGGAGGCGGGGATATTTCCACCTCCCCTCCGCTCCCTGCACAGAGCGAGGCTAGTACGCATGCTCACTGACAACTCTCTCCCTCCGCAATACTAAAATAAAACACGTAATTCATTATGGAACACTGCATAATTCAGGTGCAAATCGACGGATTTTCGTGAAGGCATTGTGCTACAGATCTCCCGTAACAAAGGACAGAACTAAAATTGAAAGAAAAACAAAACTTCTTTGAGGCATTTCACAAAGAAAATAGTGAATCACGCTCAAAACTTTGAGCCCTTCGTTCGAATATTATTTAAAAAAAAAAACCGGTCCGTACCGCAAAGAAAACACAGCACTTCACACGTAGCAAACATCAACTGGGTAATTCTGTTTTAGAAAATAATCGCTATAAATTCTTAGAATCACAAAAAAAAATACTGATTGCTGAAGGAGGTGGTACATTTCATTATCACTGGGCTCTGTAGGGTTGACCCGCGGCCTGGCTCTTTCATGATTAAAAGTTGTTACCTGGTATAAGAATGCACAATTTGTATATCAGCATTTGATAGCAGTGATCACAATTATCAATGGTTGATCATAATGACGAACCACGACGCGTACTAATAACAACAGAGATCAAACGTCATACTTATTGAAAAAGCAATGTCGAAATGATTGATTTCGCTACAGAAAATTACATAATAATACGCGGAGCTGTTGGTAATAGCACTGATAATTAATAGCGTTATTAATTATCATCGATTATCAAGGTGTTTCTACAAACTGTCCTCATTTACAACCTGAGGCCCGCAAGTCAATAAGAAGGATCAATATGACCTGGTTTAATTATTTTAACATATATTAACACCGGAAAGTGAAACGCAAGATGTATGTATGTGAATTTAGGCCGTAGGAAGCAGCCTGCTTCAGTCCTCGTACGGATACCAGGTCATATCAATTTAAGCAATGTCACCCCAAAAAATCCACAACAAACCTAACATAACTCTCGCCAAATATTTGCAGAAGGCATCAACACAAGAGTAAATATTCTTCGTTAAGTGTCACGTAAAAAAGCGCTTTTATTTATTATTTATTTAGTGTTCTGTCTGACGACAGGTCCATATGAACAGGATCCTTCCATCCTTTTCTCGGACTGGGACCTGTTCATATACGTTCTTGGCGGATGATCCAGAAGTGGTTTGCCATTGCCTTCTTCTGTGTGTGAATGGAGTAATTGTTGGGATGCCACGGAGGAAAACTCCGTGTTGCCTAGACCACGGCCTTGCCCAACACAAGTTATAAATTCGAACTCGAGACCCCAGGATTACAAGGCCAGCGTTCTAACCGCTAGACCACCGCGGCGTCTGAAAAAACCGCTACACGTGTTGCGAAGGGCCCTCCCTTCGATCTGCAGGCGAAGGGGTAAGGCACATCCACATGAAGTGACCGCAAGCCAACTGCCGATGATGGTGAATGTGGACTTGTCGGTGGGTACCAACGTTTCGGAAGAACATACTGCCTCCGTCTTCAGGGTCGAATGTATCAACATCCATCCAAGCACCAGGGATAGCTTCACGAAGCAAATTCCTGAACGGATGCACTCGGTTCGACTCTCAGCTGCCTACAGGTTACAGCTGAGGCCTACTCTGTTTTTACCTCAGAATCCCCAAGATAATGCCTGGAATTTACCTTTAAATTGGCCACGACCACCCCCTCAAGTGCTCAGTTCATCATCTCCTTCCTCTCGCCTTTCTATATCCGCGTTCTTCTCTCCCTGCGTCCGTCTTTTTTAAAATTCGGCTGGAATCAATTTCAAAGACCACGACGATTTGTAAAGCCGAGTTAATTTTAGCGGGAATTCTCGGTTCAAAATCAGCAGGAGGTCGGGCTCAACAATGACTTTTCTGTCCTTCTCCTCGCATAATCCGTGTTAAATGAAACCAGTTTCTTGCAAGAACCGAATTTCCTCCTACCGTTAGACACGTTCAACCAAGCGTTTCACCTCGGCGGACGTGAGATTTGATAACAAATGATCGGAACGGGACACAATGTCACGTTGAGAAGGCACTGACCACTGCCACGGACGGACGGACGGACGAAGTCTTCATCAGCTGAAGCCCAAGGCGCTCACTTACAAGCCAAGTACCAAAGACGTAAGCACAAATCAAACGTTGTAATGGTGAAGAGTAGTGTTTTCTTTGAGGTACGGTCCGGATTCTTAAATATCATTCAGACGAGCTTCGCGCTTCAAGGGGTTAATATTATCTAGGAACCCCCGATTTTGTGTCAAAGTTGACGATTTACTGACGCATTCCTGAGAAAATTCGGCACCAGCATTTATTACTTACGTAATGGATCAGAATTCGGTACCGCGCGTCACACGTACAACGAAAATAAACGCAGAGTAAGTCTGCAGGAGCGTTCGTGTTAAAACTGACGTGATGACACGCATTTCGCAGTTGTGCGAGGCGCAGTTCACACCAGAACACCTCCCCCTGTTATTAAACATCTTAAAATAACTGCATGCAATTCGACCTATCGAACAGTTTGAGACCGTCTGTTAGTCGCTGTCCAAGGTCCCACCTTGGTCGCCATGGCAACAGAGATAATGTAAGATTGACGGAATCTTTCGGCACAAAACCAAAATCAAACAAGACTTCATCACTCTGAGATGATCCGCAGATCACCAAAATAAACAATTTTGAGTCAGACGAACGTTCCAAGTCTAGCAAACACCAAACTGGCGAAAGTTGAAACTACATGCACTGGATTAATAGACGATCACTAATGATTCACTGGGCACATATTGTACACACTAAAAGAACATTAAATATGAATATGGTACGTGATTTTTGAGTTTTTGATTCAGTTTTTTATGGTAACAGACATCTAAATTAAGATTATAAAACAAATATCATTTCAACGCATTCAAAACCCTATCAAGACTTCCCTGAGCTTTTTTTAAATATTTTTTACGATCTTCTACTGAAACATCGGTGCGTGCGTGCGTGTGTTTAAAATCGCCTGGTGTCATAAAAATTTAAGAAATTCTAATTACCCTAAGTAACGTGGCCGTTAAAATTGTCTGTCCTAAATGGAAACCGAAATGTCTCCACAATTTTTCGTAAGATTCTCCAATATCAAATTTAATCGCACATTCCAATCCTAGGAACGCGTCTCGTACTCAGACACGGTTTAACACAGCAAGAGGCGACATATTTCTCCACCCTTAGTTAGATTTTGGTTGGTTGGTAGCTCTGCCAGTTCGCCCCTGAAGATGGACACAGTGTGTTTCTCCGAAAGTCTGATGTACTAACGAGTCTACAAAGAGACAAAGCCCACAATAACAACAACATGAGATATTTAAGTGGTAAATAACTGGCCTCTTGCGAGGAAATGGTTCATCGCCGTCAACACAAAAGCTTGGACCTAGCAATCTGCCATCCCGTCTCTGTGTGCGCCTGCCACGCGCGGTTCTCCAACTGAAGCGTGAAGAGATCGTTCGAACAGACAAGTTTATTGGCTCCTTAGCGCGTGCTCGAATCTCCCATTTTTTTGTTGAGTTTTTCTTCCTGAAGACAGTCCAGTACCAGGCGAAACAACTCACCAGTTTTTATTTTCTCAGATTCGAAACGAAACGTCATTAACAAACAAACATGCAACGTAACATTCGCAGTCGATAAGGCGTCGTTAAATAAGCAAGACTACGGCGGTGAAAGTCTGAAGGACAAATCACACAAAGCAATCACGTGACTTTGTCTCTGCAACTCTGAACTGTTTCGCTTCAAATCTTGTCATACTGAGGGATCGGACATGTAGCACGCGTGATGACATCTGCGTCCGTCGTCTTACGTTCTCTGAGCGCCGGCGTCGTCCTTCGTTTGTTGTGTTTGCAGTAATCGCTGATTGTGGCTCTGAGGAGTGAATCCTACAGGAGGAAGGCGACTATCCGATTTGTTTTTACGCTTGAAGAAATAACATTCGTATTGAATGAGGCGGAGAGTAGAGCGTAATTAGCGTTGGAGTACGCTTAAAAAGGGAGAATTAAGAATTCCTTTTAACATTCGCAGTCTGGATCAATATTTGGTCTTCCTCGCTTCACCGTCAGACAAAATCAACGCCGTCTAGGACCCGCAAAGCTACGTCGCCGCCGCCGAGGGCCATCGAGGACGAAGACAGTCTCTTGAAACCTTGGCGGATTCCGTTTCAGAGGAAATCCGACTGAATCTCTGCCACGAAGGGATAATGGTGTCAGAGGTCATCTTAATTTTCACAGTCCTGGCATAATAAATTAGGCCACGACCCCTTCCACAGTCATAAAAATGGTTCTATCTTACGACGACGTAGTCTGAGCCGGAAATGGAAGTCACACACAATTCAAGTCTGAATTTTATCGAAAGCCACAAAGAAATCAAAAGTGACGAGTGGTGTTACCACGTGATTTTTACCAAACTTCGTGTATGTGACAAGGAACCACGTCGATTGGTCGCACTGTAGCCCAGAAGTTTGTTTCGCGACAAGGAACAGCACGTCCTTCATTTTCGAGGTTGCTGTCTTCGCGGTCTGCAGCCTCGGAACCAATCAGAAATTGCTCGTTTCCGTAAATTTCAGTCAACTCGGAGACCAGCTCCGAAACTTCTGCTCCGATACAATCACACGGCGTGGCGGAGGGGCGACTTCCGCTCGGGGGATGAACACTGCTCTGTCGCCAGCAGAGAGACGTCTTCGCCACGAACACAGCGACACAAGGAGCCTGGGAAATTCAGTTCAATTCAATTAGCTGAGATCAAACAGCTGAGAGATTCCGCTGACTCGGTACGTCGTTGAATGACTCACTGAGTCACTCATTAATTGGCTCCTTAATCGACTAAGGAACTTTTTCAGGACTTGAATTGCGTCACTGTCTCTCCTCGTGGGTGTTAAACCAGGAATCCTAAATTCAGAGCCCGCGGGCCGCACACGACCTCCCGATGACAGGCGAATCTACATTTGTT